AAAATTTCGAATTGGAGGCAAAATTTTGATTTGGGTGAAATTTTTGGGTGAAAAACTGGAAAATGTGGGAAATTGGTAGGTAGGGGTTAGGGAAGTGGGGGAGGGGGAGGAGGTTCCCACATCATCATGCTGAACACTGGGAAGCAACTACATACTGCCAGGTTGCAACCATAGAATGGGTACCAACGTACTCTCCGTTGATTCTACGCATAATGTCGCTCGGCGCGGTCTGCTCTGCTCGTTTTTGAATCTTAAGAAAGGTTAGTCATCTTCTGATTCATTTAGGAAATTCATAAACGAGCAGTCCAATCAATTGCAACATAGGACCCAAAGGCGTCGTCCTTAGAGAATGTGGAAATTGAGGTAGAGTGAGTTCTTGTGTGGTTACATTAATTGTCTTCAATGATAACGAAAGGCTTTTTAGACGTTCCCTGAAGTGTTTCCTTTGATAATGTAACAAATTGTTCTACTGTTCTTTTGACTTGTATCCAAGAAATCTGGTTATGTAAATTTCTAACTGGAATTGGAAGAAGGTGAAAGTGGTTTATCACTATGTGGTGTGGTAACAATGCCCTCAAAATAGGTTCTTCCATGTTCCGATAGAATGAAAACAAATGACTAAGAGTGCATAAGAAACTGTGCGGAATACGAAATTTTCTCGCTCTCCTTCCTTGTTGAACAAGTAGAGGCTAGCCGATGCGCTTAAAATATTTGTGAGGGAGCTTTAGAGCGCTATCCTTCTTCATCTGTTATCACAAGACTTCCTTTCCCTTCTTTTTAGTCCGTGAACTATTCAACCAATAGAAAATGAGAAACATATGCAGAACATGTCCTTTTTAGGTACTTGATTTGTAAGCTGAGCACGTGCTGCCGCTGATGAAAATTTTCGGAAAATACGACCCCGCTCTCTATATCCTACCCACCACTTTCCGAGTTTCCTAGACTTTCCCATCTTCCTGCGACTTCTTCCAGATTTTCCGGAATTTCCCGAGAGTTTTATGGTCTTCTCATTATTTTCGGTGGACAGGTGGGGAGGGAGGGAGGGGATTCTGTTAGCCGTTTTGAAGTGGAAATTCATTCACCCATCTTTAAGGTTTACTACAACGGAAATTGAAGTTGTTTGTGCCCAAGAGCGATTGTTTGTGAAGGTCAAGGCCTCCACAATAATCTGTTGCTTTTTGGGGTGCTCCACGCATTTTTGTCCCTTTCGGACTGATAGGAGGTTTTTAGAAGCGACACTATTACTACAACGGGTGGTGAGGGCTAGGCAATGTTCCGGCTCAATGTTTCTATTTTATTACATGAAACATTAATTTGTGTCCACCCACCGATGCTGGTATCAGTTCAGATATGGTTGCAAAATCCCCACCAAGGGGTGCTGTTGGGTCGGGTCGGAAGCACAGGATCTGTCGCATCGTGCACGCAACACGACTAGGGCACCATTGTCAGCGGAAGAGTGCGGAATTGACAAGAGATCTAAATAGGGGGAAGTTTTACCGGGTTTAACTGCTGTGTTGGGTCGGATCGTAGGCGGAACATCGAACAGGACACAGGTGTCCTCAAAAGGAAAAAGGGGGGAACGGGACTCGTGCTAGAGAAGGCTCTAGATAGGTTCACATGACACGGCGTTTTTTCCAGTCGCCGTAACATGCCCTGGTCAGTATGCATGATTTCACCGTCTGTAAAATGCTTTATGGGTGTCGTGTGAGAAGCGATCGGAGAATATGCCCTTCAGTGAAACAGGAAACTAATCGCTGTTATGGTGCAATGGGGCCATTAGATAGCACCCTTCCACCACCTGGTAGATTCTTACTCACATATGGAGGTGGTCACATGTAGAGGATGTGTTGCCAACTCGACCCGGTTTGCTACCGGGGTGAGTAATCTGTTCCTTCGCAGGTTTCTCCAAAAAAGGATACTGCTCTCATCACTTTGATCGCTCCGGTTTGGGTAACCCGATACCTTGCACAGCTACCAAATTGTAATCAGTAAACGATACCCTACCATTGGGAACTGCGCTGTCACGAGGAAACATAGTAAAAGCCCCTTACAACGGAATAAATGACTGCTAAATAAGTGATTTAAAAAATAAGTGACTGGATTTCAAAATCGTCTCAAAAACCACATGGTGCCCATAGGTCAGTTAATAGAGGAGTCCTAAAGGATTCCGAACCAGGTCATCGGTAGAACTCAAAAAGTAAAGCAAAAGCAAAATAATTCATATATTACTTGCTCAGGTTCGCAAGAATGGTAAAGAAAACGATTCAAGTGGGGATGCCCCGAAACCATATGTACGGGTTAAATAAGTGTGTACTGCAGTCTATAGGGATTACGCCCTTGAAATATTACCATGCCTTCAGTTCATCAGCGGCTCAAATTTTTAGTACAAAGAGATGGAGGGAAATAAAAACGCTACAATGACTTTGCCCTTGCATTCTTTCAATCAACTCGAATGCAGCTCGCGACAGCTTACGACTCAGAGATTTTTTTATAATTTTTTCCATTTTCATATAAGAATGCGATGTTAGGCGCTGACCTGGAAAGCAATACGGTCCATGAATGAGGCTTAGCGGTCTCATTATGGTTGGATAGATTCCCTGTTTTATATTGTCGAGTGGAATTTTTAAGGTGCGGCGAACAGACCGAAAAGTTCGTCAATGCTCCTTAAAAATGGACATATCTGCGCATTCACGCATACCATTTCATACAAATGCTCCTTTTAGAATGAGACTTTATTTCTATAAAGCCTGCTCTCTAATTGTAAGACAAACTCAGTCTGTCATGCTCAAGTGTAGGTTTGATACCAGATACACGAGTGAATACCTTCGCGAAGAAAAGTTAGGAGCCTAGCTTCATCGGTGCGAAGGCAGCTTCGTTCTCGCCCTCGAATCAGTCACACCATCAGCTTTTTCAGTTAGCCCTGGAACTGTTCCAATGTTCAACCTGTCTGTGGCTGAAGCTCACCCTAGCAACGTCATGAACCATCTGTGGAATGCTGTTTGGCCCTTCGGGTTTACTCTGGGATTGTTTGGGTCCGTAGATCTACTCGACTATTTTCCTATAGGGGACTTAGGATTGCCAAAGTGAGCGTTCAAACGGCTTGGAAGAAGAGGAGACACTCCAGCCACTACGTTCTTCTTGGAAAGTGAGACATTCATTGGCAGATACACTTTTCATTAAAACGACCTGACGCAGATAATTAGTAGATTCAATTAGCTTACTGGGTCACTTTTTTATTAATTGAAAGAAAAGTCCAGTCTATCCTTGGAACTCCAATCTATCCCTTGAAGTCGATCAAATGTCGAATGGGATGAGCTGCAAGCGATCATGGTTCCTAATCTCAGTCATGCGATGAAGGGATTTGGAAGTTAAAGTGACGGAAGAGCCAAAGCAAAACCAAGTTAACAAAAAACCTTTTCGTGATTGTTGAAAAGCTTCAACAACCGTTAGAGTTCGTTGACTGTGCTACCCCGTTATGAAAGTCTCCCTGGTCTCACACGGGGACCCCCCCCCCCCCCACAAGAAAACCGATTCCTTGGTAACGACCCCTCTCCACCTAGAAGAAGAGGTCTCCGGTACCGCCCCCCCCCCCTTCTCCTCCACCTACCTACCATTTTTCTCACATTTTTCCAGCTTTTCACGCCCAGTTTTTCACCCAACAAACATGGGCACAGCATTTCAATGGGGATTTTTGGTCGAGCTTTTTACGGACCCCCCTTTTTTTTTCAGGGGTGCGTCGAAATCAAAACTATAAAAATAAATTTTTCCCAGCCCAAATACGACCCCCCCCTTTTGACGGCCAAATACGACCCCCCCCCATAGGGAATCCCCAACCAATGCTGTGCCCTGCCCACGACTTTTCCGTCGCGGGGGTAGAGATAGTGGCCTATATTAGTACACATTAAAACAGGGAAAAATCAGGAAAAAGTTCAAACACCGGGTAAAGAAATTTTTCCCCTTGAATTGCGGCAAAACTTCTCTCAAAGCCACATACGATCGCCCCCCCCCCCCCAACAACGACCAAATACACCTCCTCTTATCCGAGAGTTTACGACCCTCCCCCTGTTTCACACAAGCGCCCTTTGTGCCTTGCAATCGATGGCTCAAACTTGCTTCACTTTCTGTATCGTTCAGTCGAGTTGACATCACAGCTTTCTGCAAGATTAAATCGTAGGTGCCATTCAGCTAACATGAAATTGTATTATTGGTTGGAGCCAGTTTTCCTCTATCATTTACAAACAAGTTTGGAAAGAAACGACCGGAAAGCCCCGTGTTTCGTCAAGCGTACATAGAGGAAGAATTGCCTATCGAAAGCTATTCAATGAAAAAACCTGTCAGTTTTTTTGCCATATGTCATGTTTTCTTTTCTTCTGCTTGAAGCGGTTTCGTCGTAATGGAATTGGGGTGAGATTGGCGATTTTGTTCGTTTGAATGAAATGAGTTTTTTGCGTTGACGAATACGAGTCGAGTGGGCGGGACAGCGAATATAAAGCCGTCCGAGGCACGGAGGTTCACAGTCACGGACACTCAACTGATCCGCCCATTCCTCGTCCTAGACTTATTCGTCCTTATCTCCATCAGTTCTACATGCAATCAGGTTCACAACAGCTGACAGCGCATAGTACTATCCAGCTCCCATCTCCCCACATTTTTTGGCTCAAAGTGTCTCAGAAGTGAGGTCGTTCAGGGCGTGGTGTGCACTTTAAAAAGGGGGGGGTTTTTTTTTTTTTTTGCATGTTGTAGTGCCGCATGCGTGGACCAGTAGAGTGAGGTTTATTTTCGCTGTGCGGCTCTAGGAATACCATAACGTTTGATGGTTCGCACCCCCATGAGGACAATATTTCGCTTTTCTCCAACCTCCTTTTATTTTTCGAGTCAGCCTTAACGTGGTTTACCTGAATTTCCTTTGCCCCCTGACATTAGATCGATGCCCATTGATTTCTAGATTGTGTTTAAGAGTTTTCGAGCAGACCTGTCGAGTCAAGTCTACGGTCTCGGACATGCGTGAAACATCGTTCATCATGTCGGTTTCTCTGGCCGCAGGCGCCATATCCCTAATTGGATCCATGCTTTTTCTTCCTCGCCTTTACTGGGAGATGGTTGACCTAAAGGACGAGGTGTTTGAAGCCGTTGGCAGCTTTCAAGCGTTTGCGAATTTGACTGCAACTTCAACTGTATATTTACTTTTTGTATTACACCAACAGAAGTCTGAATCAATTGCAGGTTGAAACGGATTCGTCATGGATCGAGCTGATGAACGTGCAGGTCAGCCACACCCCTCCATCGAAACCAAGAGAAAATCCACTTCTGAGGAGGGAAAAGAGGTAAGAAGAGCATTGAGCAGAAGGGACATGATGCATTACCGTGACCAGGTGTCTATGAGAAACATTCAGCTTCTTTCCATACCATTAGGGAACTTCAAGTCAAACTTGTATGTCCCCTGTATATGATTGCGAGAGTTCCAATGGCACATGATTCCAAGCAGAAACAACTAGCTAGTAACTCTCAATGTAAGGGTAAAGGGATGAAGTTCATCAGGTCAGTTTCGTTATAAACTCTCTTTTCGGGTTGGGCCATGCATTTTTCTTCCATTCAGAATCGTAGTGGCTTATCGATGCGATGTGGCCTATGACGTGCGGAGGCCAGCCGATGTACAAGTCATTGTTATTATCCTCTCAAACAAATCCGGTACCAATTACCGCCCTCGGGGTAGGAGGCCTGGTTGGTCGGGGCAACTCCGCCTTCCATGGTTTCTTAAAACGGTTTCATGCTTTTGTATGCAGTAGTCACTCCTTTGTAACCTAGAAACACGATCCAGAAAGCTCACATAAGCCTCGCGCCAGACTTGAGAAGCGACCTGTTGTTGTCTGAAAAACGTCGAGAGCCCGCAAAATAGGCTCTTCTTTCTGCAGCAGCTCCATCTCCTGAGTTCCGATAGAATGTCAGCGCCAACGACGTCAGCTCTTTCCTTCCTTTCATCACATGACTTTTATTATTTGAGCCATTCAGATCATATATTTTCCTCGTATTCTACCTCGATAGGCCAGGCCGGATTCGCACGAATTTCATGAAAATTAGATTACAAGCCTATGGTCATTTTCCATAAAAACTCTTTCGCGCTTGCTCCAGCATCTGACTGAGTAAGCCCTCAAGCAGCGCCACAGAATGAATCTTTCCTCATCACATTATTGCTGTATTATTGCAAGCAGCTTGGTTCTTTTTGGAAGTAGTAGAAGCCTTCTACAGTTATTCTTCATATAGCCATTAAGAGGCGTATGAGTTGCTACTCGGGGTCTGTAAACGGTTATAAGGGACGTTTATAGTGTGAAAATGACAAAAAAGAAGTGAAACGGTCATAAACGGTCACTTCCAAAAGCCCGTGTTCTGCACGACTCAGAGGGCAATTTCGGACGAGTTTCTCGTTGGCATAGTGCCAACAGCCGCCACGTTGGATAGTGCTGCATGTATGTGCTCATGTATTCATGCAGCACCACAGCCGATTCATATCATACCCTTCGCTTCATATTGTACTTTTTCGGCACAATGAAGCGATAACGAGGCGTAGGTGACATTTGTGGTAGTGAGGCGGGGCGGTAATCCGAGTTCATGTTGATAGGGCGCCGCTGTGAATGCATCATTCGTTGGAAAAAGCGCCACCGCAGCGTCTTGCTTCAGGGGTATACGAAAACCCGTAACTTGCTAGCTTACCAAATCACACGTCGTTGGGGGATTTATTTAGTCTAACTTTGCCTTCATGTGCAACAATGGGGTTGTATATGTTGTGTCGCGGAAAAGGTGGAGAAGAAAAACCGACTTGCGACGTTGCAGGGATTTGTTTCGGTGTCATAACTCCTTTCAACTTCAGCGTTCTCGTCCGAATCCTTTTGCCACATTCCATAGCCCGTTTACCGATTTGGGAAAGTAAAGAAGAGAAGGCGAGTTGGTTTGCATCTTGCAACAACGAAATCACCAATCAGTATGTGTGCTTCACCAGAACTGGGGGGGGGGGAGAATTTCAGAATTTTCAGAAGTTTTCGTTCCCTTGAACCAGAGCTGACCACTCCTTGTACGACAGCCATAGATGTCAAACACGATCCGCTCCCATTTAATACTGCGAATTCCATAACGCATACTCTAATGTGAACGCAATCTGCATTACGATCCGAGAACTGGGAAAAGGATCCATCATTCACAGCATAGAATTATCCTTGACCATTCTTTGTATCTATGAGACAGCGCCGTGAATTTCCAGAAGTGAGAAACTGGACAATAAGACGCCTTTCGACGGCTGATATATTGCTGGATGTTCGTAGGACTAGCCTGGTTCCAACTCCATTTCAGCGACACTAGACATGGAAGATGAAGAGGGAGGGGGCGAGAGCCGATTCCCTCCAAAGATAATCCTTTTGCGCAAAAATTTTATGTTGCATAAGTGCACTACTGGCCTGCGAAAAAAAAGTTCTTTTAAGGGCTCCTGTGCATCGATGATCACGATAGAAACAAACACCTGTTAACGTATATTATGATTTTTTACGGATGTTCAAGGGAAATCGATTGAGTATCAATCATTTCTGGGAAGTTCTTACATCCGATGATTGTCTTAGGTTCGCAGGTCTGCCTGATTGGTGTCAATGTGATCTTGCGCCACAATGTCCACCCGGTCCACCCGGACCGCCTGGTCCACCTGGAATGCCTGGAGGTAAGCGATTGTTGGCATTTTGACAGTCAATACTCACGTAGAGGTGACATTTGTTTGTAATATATTTTTCAAAAAGTCTGTGACCTTTGCGTAAATCTTCCTGCATGTCAGTTCCTGGCGCAGCGGGTGCTCCAGGGAAGCTGGATAAATTTGAACGGTGCTGCCTACGGAGGAGAACTATGCGGCACCTCCAATTGGGGCTGGCGTACAGTGCCCAGCAGGAGTGCGAGGCCCTCCAGGACCCGATGGACCCCCAGGATTACAGGGCCCTCCTGGATTACCTGGTGTTCCAGCCTTGCCTTACGCGGTCAACGGACAGCCTGGGCCACCAGGACCTCCTGGAGATGCAGGAGCCAGTGGTGAACCTGGAGAACCTGGGGAACCTGGCCCACCAGGACAACCAGGAACTTCACAGAAAGGTGCTCAAGGTCCATCGGGAGAGCCAGGAATGGCAGGAGCCCCAGGAATTACTGGAATACCTGGTGCACCTGGTCTGCCTGGGAGCGATGGGCCTCCCGGTCTGTTGGGCGCCCCTGGAAAACCTGGTGAGCCAGGTGCACCCGGAAGTCCTGGGGCACCTGGAGCTGCTGGAATACCTGGCCCTGATGCTGAATATTGTCCGTGTCCACCGCGGTCGTTATTCCTTCTTCAAAGACACGTCTGAAGAGAATGTGAAGTATACAATTGATTGGGCATTCGTTCTGAATAAAAATGTATTGAAAGTGATCTGTAGCTCATAGCTGTGTTTTATTGATAGAAAACCATGACCAATACATTGATGTCAGGTTGAAAACTTCTCATGTAGAGACAGAAACTAGCTAGAGTACAAAGAGCAGCTAGGTGGGAAAATAGAGCAAAGAGAGTACGCCATGGATTGCGCAATAGGAAAATTTTTTGAAAAGCGGCACTGTGAGTTCATCTGCTTACAAGTTTCTTTCTTGTAAAACGCTCTGATAAGAGAACGTAGAACTGGTTGAAAGATAGCGCACAACATTATGGGATTAATTCCTGAGACTTTTTTCGAGAAGCACCAGATTCTTCAAATGCCCTCGGTATGTTCTCAGAGCAGGCTCTGTCACACTGTTCTTTCAAGAGCATTGCAGGAGGCTGCTGCGCTTACCCACTCGAGATACCACGATAGAGGCCTACTTGCTTTAAGTAACCACCGATAATCTGCTACTACTCAAGGTACCAGAGTTCCTTGAACTAATGTACTAGCCTACTGTGCAGAACGTATGGGCCCACAATTGAAAACCCCTCCCCCCACCTGACAAAGGGTGTTCAGTGTTACCCACATTATTTTCCCGGAAAGTGTCCAAGCGAACGTATAGACAAGAAAGAGGAAAATTCACATTTCCCACCTCAAGTTCTTAGGAAGTAAGCAGTACAACACTGTTTTCTGGGGTAGGTATAAGGCGATTACGTAACATGCTGAACTTTTATGCATAGTCCTGTTGCGACGCAGACAGAGAGAGGATAGCGCCTGCCAAAGCATCAGAATGTGCAAGAAACATATGACGAGTCAGGATAGGGGCTTTTTCAAATGAAGGGCACTTTGGGGGGCGTGAGCCGAGTTATCATTTGTGAAAAAGGAAAGGATTGTCTGAGGTCACAATGACCACAAAGTAAAGGAGTTCAGAGGAAAACCTATCGACGTATTCAAGGGAGCAAGTTCAACTTGTTCGTAGACCGTATAAGACCCCAGGCCGCATTTCGCGAAGTCGCACGCGATAACACACGCGAGTCGACGTTTTGCTTTCTTTTTTTGCATATTTTGATCTTCCAGTTTTTTTCAAGCACCTCTCATCTGATATGGATCATTATTATGAGTAAGAGTAAACAAAAAACACGCAGAAAAGTAAACCACATAGGGAGGAAATGTTTAGTGGCGAATTTTCCAGAGCCGACTAAGTTCTTTAACAGGGGGGCGCGTTGAACTCTAGAAAGAGTGAATTGGAAGGAAGATTATGCCTTATTCGGTTTTCAAGGTAACATTCCGGACATAGGAGAACTTAAAGACCTGCCCCTAGGAGAACTTAAAGACCTGCCCCTCTATTACGAAAGCGTTTGAGTTCAAATTTGAATGCTTTCTATTAGATGCTGGGTGATTTTACAGGGAAGAACATGTACTGAACCAAAAGGGCGGGCAAACCAGAAACACCCTTAAAAAGTGCGGCAAGTGTCTGAGATTGGTGACCCGGAAACATGATCTGCCCCAGGCAAAATGAAATTTTATAAAAACGAAAAGTGTGCAGGAATTGAGACGACGACTTATAAAATGATTCTGAATGATTTGTGGGTAATCGATCACCCATGGAGAAGCCTTTGCGGTCTCTTTGCACTCATCGTGTGGAGAGATGGTTAATTGAGAGAGATGGTTAATTGAATACGTTGCAGGGACAGAATTTCAAAGATTACGGCGATGAGGCACTTTGAGGAAGGGGGAGGAAGGACTTGCTGGTGGAGTGAGGGCAGCCAGTGTGGGAGTCGACTTTTTTACCTTTTCAGACGAGTCTACTACTAATTAGCTTTCCCCGCAGGCACGAAAAACTCGGTTGGTTCAGGCGGGAGCCGATCCGGGCTTTGCACTCCAGACCACGCTTGTGGTAAGTGGCGCCACTACACTCTC